ATATATAGTAGTAAACCAAGAAGTTGTAAAATGAGAAATATCTGATGAAAAAACAGTGATGATGAGTGGTCTCTAGAGAGAAAAAGAGCTTGATTGAAGTCCAGAACATTTGGTTTCTTATATCTGCAGTGACAATAAAAAGAACAGTTATGAGTATGCAAAGCCAGTTACAGCTCTTCTGAATAGCAAAGTAGGACCCATTTTTCACCAGGAGGACATATCGTGTCCCTAAAAGAGTGGGGCATTCTTGGCATTTTTGTTTCCTTGTATGGAGAAGCAAAACTGTAAGCCAGAGGTGGAATTTGAAAAGCTGTTCCAGAAGGGGATGTGATTTTGTTGCCAAGTACAAACTCAATCACCCAGGCTTCCCAGGAGACCTTGGTCATAGAGCTGAAGGGTGCAGCAACCCCACCATATGGTCCAGCTGGCAGGAGGAGACTCTGAGGCTCTGATCTAAAACGACCATTAGAAGTGAGGTCTCTCCATTGATTGATGAACAGCTGGGGTGCAGAGAGGCCCTGAACCCATGTGACCACGTGTGCAAGTACATGTGTGGGTGAGAATGTGACCTGTCTCTTCACAGGAGCTTCCTTTGGAAAATTTCATTCATGCAAGAAATGCAGCTCTCTCTTTTGAACATGAATAAATTCCAGAAACCCATTTCTGACCTCTGAAAGCAATGGCAGTTTATTCATTTCTTTCAGGTTCATGATTCTGTAGAAAATGAACCAATGAAGCCTGTGTCTTTTGGGTTTTAGTGCAAGTCTGTTTGTATTGCACCTAGAAGCATATACACACTTGTATAGACTGAGTTATTCCCCCACCACCCCGCCAAGTTCACATGTTGAAGTTATAATGCTCAACACCTCTGAATGTGATTATATTTAGAGATATTCACTTTATAAGAGGCAATTATATTAAAATGAGTTTACCAGAGTGAACTTTAATAGAATATGATTAGCATCTTTAGAAGAAAACAGAGATTTGGACACAGGTGCAGACTGTCCTTCAGAATTGGGAAAAAATAATTGGACAGTTGTTTAAACTGTCCAATCTGTGGGATTTTCATATGGG